CAATGATGACGCTCAACATGACTATTTTGCTCATGAGTATAAGCACAAGACTATTGGTGATTGATACCAACCTGAGCAAGAACAATATGTAACTTTTTGTACCCCCCCCCACCCCCACCCCCCGAAGATTCAACTATCGCACGAACATGATCAAAGACGCCATACATATCAGATTTCAAATGTAAAGGGGTAGGCCAAGTATAGCGGGAAAAGTCATCCACAACGATCACATAATAATGAAAGCCATTATAAGACACATGAGGAGCTTGGTTCTCAAATGTCAGTGTATATCAAGTCTAGTAAATGCGAAATAGAAGACTCAATTCTATGTAAGGAAAAATGAGAAGACTTGGTCATTTGACAACGACCACGAAGATAAACAATCACTTGAAAAATAAGTAACATGACAATTTTTTATAATCTGACTCAATACGCAACGATGAGGATGACCAAGACGCCTATGCCAGACGGAGGGAGATGCACAAGCAGACAAGAAAACAGCGGGAGCCGTCCAGTCGCCCTGCTGGAGGGATTGCAACTGGCTAAGCAATTGGAGAGGTCATGCCCTCGTCGACGAACCGAATGCGTGCTCTACAGACTCCTAAACTTGTCTCGACGTCATGCGTCCAACAACCAAATGCATTGCTTCTTCAAAGAGAGAGAGAGAGAGAGAGAGAGAGAGAGATAGAGAGAGAGGAAATAGACATTGAAAGACCCGATTGGTCTTGTTGAATCCAAACAGCATAGGCTGGATTAGGAGATGGCACAGACTGAGCTTCGCTGGACGGAGCAGGAAGCACAAGCAAAGGACATGGAAAAGATCCATCCACATAACTAAGCAAATTTTGACCTCAAAGAAAAGGCATGAGTTGTGTATGCCAAAAAGGACATTCCGGGATGTTAACCTCTATTGAAACAAAGTGATGAGCTGTTGAAAGAAAAATAGGGGCTGCCAGCGATAGCAATGCAGTGGTCGCGGAGACAATCTGCTCAGAACTAGCAGTACTGTTGTTTGTGTCGGCCATCAGAAACCTGAATGTTGATACTAGATGAGAACAAAATTCTTTGAACCTTAACGGGAATAGATTATCCGTAACATATAGTATAAGTAGAAACCAACTATAAATAGAAGACTAGAATCCTAACACATATATTAAATATCTTGCGTCAATGATTGTTAGTTTTGTTGTTTTTATCATCGTGTGCGGCACTTAATTACTTTTTGAAAAGTATAATCAAGCTTCAAGCCACTTGTAGGTGGTACAACTAATTTTTTCCACTAACATAAGTTCACATTTAATAGTCATAATGGCGTCTGCTTAAACGTATTTTTTGTATCAATTTATTATGATTATTACAAGAAATCATGTCCAACTGCCTAACATATACTTTCAATTTTTCTACAATATCATGCAAAAAAAAATGAACAATATTTTTATGCGTATCGTAACGCATGCGTATGTATAATTTGGGTCAATGCGGACTGCTCTTTCAATACGAATATATCAACTTGCACTTTTAGAGTTCTTGTTATGCACTATATAATTAAATATAAAAATAACCAACTATAATAATGTTACGGGCTTAATTGAGTATAGTACGAGTTTAAATGTGCCTCCTATAATTAAAACATGCTTAAGACATCTCGTGGTTCAACGAAAACAAACTATAATAATGTTACATGAAAGAGTAGATATTCTAAAGTGAGTATTGTAAATAATGCAATATTACACTTTGTTAGATGTATCTTTTTTGTTTTTGTTTTTTTTTTTTGTTTTTTGTTTTTTTTTTTTTTAAATATTGATGTGGCAATCCGGCATGTTATCCTTGGCCAATTCAAGATGTCTTAAATATTTAATAATAACAAAAAAGGTCCAGAAACTTATTAATTAGCAATTACACAAGTGAGATCAAGATTTGGTTCAAATATTTTTTTTCCTTATGAATTGGTTCAAATATAATTCATGAAGAAGATGATAACTTAAACATCAAAATACCTATTGGGAAAAGAAGACAATAAGACAATAAAAAACTTAGCTGATGCGCTATACTATTCGTATTCGAATAAATCCCATTTAATTATTTTTTTTTAAAAAAATAAAATATACAAGAGTGTTTTGAAAAAAAAATATCTTTTGTAATAATTTAAAACGCTACACAATTCAAAATGTTAAGGAGAAAAGGTAATTAACAAATATATCTACTTTAGCCAAATAATTAAAAGCTAATTTATAGCAAAATCTTTTATAAGGATCCGTATGACGGGTCAAATTTTGAATAAGTATTATATTTCCTTTATAAATATTACAATTTCATCATAAGTAACTATTCAATCTAATATTAAATTTTTATTTAAAAATATTGCATTTTTCTCATTAATATTATAATTTCTCTCAAAAGTAGCAATCAATAAATTTATTCCCTATTAGTATAACACTTTTTTTTTCTAAGTAACTTTTCAAATTCTAAATATTAAATTTTGATTTAAAAATATTATATTTTTCTCTAAAAGTATTACCACTATCCTAGTTTTCCTTATAAGTATTAAATAATTTATTTCGACAAATTATTCTGCGGACTCGAGTCCAAAGATGCACAATTTACATACTAAATGTTTACAATTTACTTTTTAAAATACAATTTATATTCTAAAAGTACACAATTCTAATACTAAAAATACACAATTTAAGATCAAGGCTCACCGTATAAGGTAGACTCTGATCCATAGTATAACAACTTATTTCTTTGTGATCAATATTACATTTTTTGTATAAATATTAATTTTTATATTAATCCATTCTATTTCACGAATAAGGACTCGTGAAATGATTCCACGGTAAACTCATCCAAAATTTATTTACCAGTCAAAGCCTTTTATTGTTTTACATATATTTAAAAAAAAAGATATATTTTATATTAATAAAATATAGTAATTCAACAAATGTGCCACGTGAGTATTCAAAGCTACTCATAAACACTACGCGTAAGTCGTAATAACTCTGATACGGAGTATCATAAAAGCATCTAGCACGTTCCAATCAAAGGATTCTTTTTTCTTTTTTTAATGTATATATTATTTTAAAAAAAAATATTTATTCAACATTCTTGACCATTCTATATTCTTCTTCACACCATTGTGATCTCATATTTCTTCGGTGTGGTGTCAGCATCAATAGTAATTAGGGGACGTTTGGTTTATAGAATCTTAGATTACCCTAAGTAATAAGATTATCTTCAGACAGATAATGTGAAATTTTAAGAATGTAAGATTACCTTATATGTCTGGTTTGATTTATGCAATATAATATTACTTTGTTTGGTTAAGGTTATTTTTAGGTTATATGGATCAATTTACTATAATGTTCTTACTCTTCCTTATACTTATATTTGGGAGTTGCCATTTGTCCCTAAAAAATGGCACCCCTTGCTTACCATTGATTTTAAATCTAATGGATGAAATTTTTTTGATCTAATTATTTATTTATTTTAATTGCCCTCAATTTTTAAAGAAATAATAAATTTACCATTACTTTTTGGTCACTAGTACAAACTTGACAAAAAATATTAGACTATTAGCATCTGTTGTTTGAAAATTAGAGACTAAAACTCGCGCAGTGGCATTTTTGTAATATTATAAACAACAATTAGCATCTGTTGTTTAAAATAACAGGAGGGAAAATCACCGCTAAATTTTTCTAAAAAAATTCTAGACAACAGATTACTGTTTTAATAGAACAATAGCCTGTGGTCTATATAATAAAATATAATAATAACAAAAAAAAAGAATATATCTCTGACCACCGCCGATATTCAGCTAAAGCGTACGTAATAAGCCTCTTTCTTGACCAACTCCTTAGCCCTTCTTCACTAACCACCACAGATACTCTCCATCTCTAACATTTCGTACGTAGAAGCCACCACCCGCGACCTCCATCTCCATTATTTCGCTGACCACCGCCGACTTTAGCCATGGGTTGAGAGGAAAGGTTCGCCAGCGACCTCTAATAGCGACTTCAGCCATAGATTGAGAAGGCAACTTTGGCGGCCAGCTCCAGCAGCTAAGTGACAACGAAGGTTCAGAGGCGACCTCCAGCTGCGCTGCAACGACCTCCACTGACGACCTCCACCAGCGCTGCGTCGACCTCCACCTGCGACCTTCAACTGCGCGCTTCAGGTACATACTGCGACTTCTTCTTCTTCTTCTTCTTCATTATTATTATTATTATTTGATATAATGTGTGCTTTATTTTATTATTATTATTATTATTATTATTATTATTATTATTATTTGATATAATGTGTCCCTTATTATTATTATTATTATTATTATTATTATTATTATTATTATTATTATTATTATGTAGTCTGATCTATTTCATTATTATTTTTTTTAGGTAAATGTAAATTGATTAAAAACCAAATAGAAATGTAAAGTATTGATTAAAGCATTATAGATTTTAAACTTCATTATTATTATTATTATTTGATATAATGTGTGCTTTATTTTATTATTATTATTATTATTATTATTATTATTATTATTATTATTATTATTATTATTATTATTTGATATAATGTGTCCCTTATTTATTATTATTATTATTATTATTATTATTATTATTATTATTATTATTATTATTATTATTATTATTATTATTATTATTATTATTATTATTATTATTATTATTATTATCTGTACCTTATTATGTAGTCTGATCTATTTCATTATTATTTTTTTTAGGTAAATGTAAATTGATTAAAAACCAAATAGAAATGTAAAGTATTGATTAAAGCATTATAGATTTTAAATTGGAATAAAACTAATGCAAAGGAATAAAATAAAGTTTCAAATATGTAATTCCATGGACAAACTGACCAAATGCTTAATTATAGATTCTCAATTATATTATATAGACTAAATGCCTTATCCATCTTCATTTATCTATATCTTATATAATATGTATTTCGGTTAAAGTTTCATAATCTTGCAGACGAGAGATATGGATCGTAGTTGGATGTATGGGAAACGCAATACACATGAATACATGCTAGGGGTTGAAAATTTTATAAAATATGCTGAAGAAAATAAAAGCAAAAATGGTGAAGAATTTCTTGTGTGCCCATGTTATGATTGTAAGAATCTTAGGAAATTTCGTAGTTCTGAGCAAGTGAGGAGTCATTTAATATGTCGTGGCTTTAAGAAAGATTATAACAGGTGGATATGGCATGGTGAAAGTGTACTTCGTAGTAATAGAATAGACAATGATGAAGAGAATGATGATGATAATGATGAAAAGAATGTAGACAATGAGGAAAATGAAGAGAATGATCGAATAAATGAACTCATGCGTGATATTCAAGGAGATGATAGTGAAATGCCTCCTATATTTGAAAGTTTTTCTATTGATTCAGAAAAATCTTTGTACCCTGGGTGTAGTAAATTTACAAAGCTATCTGCTATGCTAAAATCATATAACTTAAAAGCAATGAATCGGTGGAGTGATAAGAGCTTTACACAATTATTAGACCTTTTAAAAGACATGTTTCCTAATGATAATGAGCTTCTTATTTCAACTTATGAGGCTAAGAAAATGTTGTGCCCACTGGGCATGGAGGTCAAGAAGATACATGCATGTCCAAATGATTGTGTATTGTATTGGAAGGAATATAGTAACTTGCATGTATGTCCAAAGTGTGGAGCATCACGTTATAAGAGAAAAAATGTTGCTTATCAGTGTGAGGATAAGAAAAGCCCTCCAGCGAAGGTGCTATGGTATTTACCTGTGATACCAAGATTCAAACGCTTATTTGCAAATAAAAATGATGCAAAGAATTTGCAGTGGCATGCTAAAGGGAGGAAGGAAGATGGAAAATTAAGACACCCAGCCGATTCTCCTCAGTGGAGGAACATTAATAGAATGTTTCCTGAATTTGGCAATGAAAATAGGAATCTTAGGCTTGGGTTATGCACTGATGGAATGAACCCCCATGGCAACATGAGTAGTCGACATAGTACTTGGCCGGTTCTTTTGGTAGCTTATAATCTTCCTCCTTGGTTGTGTATGAAGCGCAAGTACATCATGTTGTCATTGCTTATTTCAGGGCCTAAACAACCAGGGAATGACATAGACGTGTACTTAGCACCACTTGTGGAAGATTTGAAAATGTTGTGGGATGAAGGCGTGATGGTGTTTGATGCATATACTCAAACCAACTTCACTTTGCGAGCCATGTTATTTTGTACAATAAATGATTTTCCAGCATATGGTAACTTGTCAGGGTATACTACAAAAGGAGCGAAGGCATGCCCAATTTGTGAAGATGAAACAAGTGATCTTTGGTTGAGTAATAGTAGAAAGAATGTATTCATGAGTCATCGGGCCTTCCTCCCTATTGGTCATCCTTATCGAAAGAGGAAAAAGTGTTTCAACGGTAAAGCTAAGACTTGTGTGGCGCGCTTTCCATTATCAGGGCATGCAGTTTATGAACGAGTCAAAAATGTTAAAGTTGATTTGGGCAAAACCTCTAAAACTGTTGAAAAGGGTCTTTGGAAAAAAGGTCAATTTTTTGGGACCTACCATATTGGGAGCATTTATCTGTACGTCATTGTCTTGATGTAATGCATGTGGAAAAAAATGTGTGTGACAATATTGTTGGGACGTTATTGAATATCCACGGTAAAACTAAAGATGGCATTAAAGCTAGAAAAGATATGGTAGAAACGAGAATACGAGATAAGTTAGCATCGCAAGAATCAGGAAAGCGGACATACTTACCTCCAGCTTGTTATACCATGTCTAAAAAAGAGAAAATAAGTTTTTGTGGATGTTTGAATGATGTGAAGGTTCCTTCAGGTTACTCATCCCAATATTAAGAAACTTGTTTCAATGAAAGAGTTGAAGTTGATTGGTATGAAGTCTCATGATTGCTATGTTTTAATGCAACACATGTTACCTGTTGCTATTCGGGATGTTTTACCAAAACATGTTAGACATGCCATTACAAAGCTTTGTTTCTTTTTCAATGTTATTTGTAGTAAAGTTGTTGATCCAGAGGTGTTGGATGATTTGCAAGCAGATGTGGTAGTGACTCTATGTCAATTTCAAATGTATTTCCCCCCATCAGTTTTTGACATTATGGTGCACTTAATTGTTCACTTAGTGAGAGAAATTATGCTGTGTGATCCAGTGTTCTTAATATAATCGTGTTAATGAATATTGTGTTGACAATGTATATTATGGAGGATTGATTTTACTATAGCAGGCTTGAACCACAAAAAAAAAACATTTAAAAGCAATACACGTCTACGAAAATTTGCAAAATCTGGTTTGTCAGTTGTTCGCAAAGAACAGATGCCTATAGTCGAGAATACGCGACTGTGAACAATAGACGCCTAAAGTCATAACTATCAGCGTCTTATTCATAAACACCTGTTGTAAAAGAGACGCCAATAGCTCCAAACAACATACGCGAATCGCCTGTTTTGTACTAGTGTGTCTTCCTCCTTTTTGCCTTGATGTGATCTTTGTCTTCTTTTTTCTCCATCATTCCAACAATCCATTCTTTTTTTTTTTTTTTTGTAAACATTTTTTTTAGAAAACCACTACATTATTCTAACTAACATCTCCATTCTCTCCCTCAAAACCAAATCTAATGTCCTCCCGCATGTTCCTAATTCAATTCTTGTATATCATGTTCGTATCTAAATAACTTATTTATATATTCTTATGTATTTTGTCATATAACAATTATTGTGTTGACAATGTATATTATGGAGGATTGATTTTACTATAGCAGGCTTGAACCACAAAAAAAAAAAAAAAAAAACATTTAAAAGCAATACGCGTCTACGAAAATTTGCAAAATCTGGTTTGTCAGTTGTTCGCAAAGAACAGATGCCTATAGTCGAGAATACACGACTGTGAACAACAGACGCCTAAAGTCATAACTATCAGCGTCTTATTCATAAACACCTGTTGTAAAAGAGACGCCAATAGCTCCAAACAACATACGCGAATCGCCTGTTTTGTACTAGTGTGTCTTCCTCCTTTTTGCCTTGATGTGATATTTGTCTTTTTTTTTCTCCATCATTCCAACAATCCATTTTTTTTTTTTTTTTTTTGTAAACATTTTTTTAGAAAACCACTACATTATTCTAACTAACATCTCCATTCTCTCCCTCAAAACCTAATCTAATGTCCTCCCGCATGTTCCTAATTCAATTCTTGTATATCATGTTCGTATCTAAATAACTTATTTATATATTCTTATGTATTTTGTCATATAACAATTATTGTGTTGACAATGTATATTATGGAGGATAGATTTTACTATAGCAGGCTTGAACCACAAAAAAAAAAAAAAAAAAAACATTTAAAAGCAATACGCGTCTACGAAAATTTGCAAAATCTGGTTTGTCAGTTGTTCGCAAAGAACAGAAGCCTATAGTCGAGAATACGCGACTGTGAACAACAGACACCTAAAGTCACAACTATCAGCGTCTTATTCATAAACACCTGTTGTAAAAGAGACGCCAATAGCTCCAAACAACATACGCGAATCGCCGGTTTTGTACTAGTGTGTCTTCCTCCTTTTTGCCTTGATGTGATCTTTGTCTTCTTTTTTCTCCATCATTCCAACAATCCATTCTTTTTTTTTTTTTTTTTTTTTTTTTTTTTTTTTTTTTTTTAGAAAACCACTACATTATTCTAACTAACATCTCCATTCTCTCCCTCAAAACCAAATCTAATGTCCTCCCGCATGTTCCTAATTCAATTCTTGTATATCATATTCGTATCTAAATAACTTATTTATATATTCTTATGTATTTTGTCATATAACAATTATTAAAAATTATATATATTATTATTTAAAAATTAGAACATACTCGTTTTAAAATTAAAAATAAAAAACTTAGAATATAATAATTGATTGTTGGGCATGACGTTTCGCGCAAAGCGCATTTCCTCGACTAGTATATATATATATATGTGTGTGTGTGTGTGTGTGTGTGTGTGTGTGTGTGTGTGTGTATCAATGCTTAAATACTAAAAACTAAATATATAAATATAGACACATGTATATTTGATTATATAAACATATATTTATTTCATCATCATCATCATCATCATTATTATTATTATTATTATTATTATTATTATTATTATTATATTATTATTATTATTATTATTATTATTATTATTATTATTATTATTATTATTATTATTATTATTATTATTATTATTATTATTAGTTAACAAGGGCAAAGTTGGAATAATTCAAGGTAATCTAAGATTACCTAAGAAAATGAGGGTGTAATCACATTACCTTGAAACGTTACCGCTACATCAGCTTTGAGATAATATAACATTACCAGGTAATCTCATAACTTGAACCAAACAAGGTAATACAATATTACCAGACTCAAATTACTTAGATAATCTAAGATTACCTGAACCAAACGCCCCCTTAGTATTACATTTGGGATTATATATTTCTTATAATTTTTTTAAATAACACGTTTGTCGTTAAATTATAAAAAAATAATACATTTTTTCTCTCAATTATACACGTCATCACTTTTTGTCCCACAATTACATCATGTTTTTTTTTTTTTTTTTTTTTGAAAAAACAGGAGGGATAAACCCGTATACAGCTCAACTGAAGAACCCCGCGCTAGTTGGCCTACCCCCGTTGGGACGATTGACCCTTGCATGCCCACCGTCGCCTGGGGAAGCAACGCCTCCCACAGTCCTTCCATCTCTGCGCAATCCCTGAAGTTGTGGAAAAGAGTCTCTGGAGCACCTGCACAAAGAGAGCACGTGTTATCAGTAGTAAACTTCCTTTTTGACCGTTCAACATTGGTCAAGATTTTCCCATGTTTCACAAGCCACAAAAAATGGTTTATCTTATAAGGTGTTTTAATTTTCCAGATGATATCCCACTGGCGGTCTTTAGATGATGTGTTCGCCTCCCCCAACTCATCTTTCAGTTTCTTTTCCAGTTGATATAGCCCGCTATGGAGCTAGCCAGCCGTGAGCCTCTGAATACCCTCGATCCGGCGTAACAAAGCTCTCTTCCTACCTTCGATACTCCCGAAGACTTCTTTGTTCCACTTAATCAATTCTGCCTGCATAGCATGTAAGTTAGTTTGCACTTGCCTAGACTGAGACCAAAGCCTTTGAATCGTCTCAGAGAACGCGCGAGTTGTGAACCAAACTGCTTGACACTTAAATTGATAATCACCGCCCCTGTGGTATTGAGCGCACAATTGGATCAGAATAGGTGCATGGTCCGACGACACCTGTGGAAGGTGCTTGACATGTGCCTCCTCGAACCGTTGCCTCCATTCCAAATTGCATAGAGCTCGGTCAAGCCTCGCCCCCTTATGAGGCAGGCCAGAGGATTCTCGCATCCAAGTTAAGTGGGGTCCACTAAAACCCAAATCGATTAACCCTTTGCTGTTGATCCAATCTACAAAATCAGCATTTCTGAGATTTGAGGAGTCAGTTGTAACACCCCAGATTTTTAAGACATTTTAAGCTTATATAATAAAGGTAATATCTCATTACATCCCAAAGTATATCATAAGTGTACGGGGTGCTATGCCACACCTGGGCTAGAGAACCCAGGTGCACAGGCTGTCTAACTAATATCCATTGAAACACAATGCATAATATGGCATGCAGGCCAAAAAGGGAAACTAATCTACTTCTACGTTCTAGTTCTAGCGCGCTCCAGTGCTCTAGTCCTCTGTGCCTGAAAGCCAAATATATCTATTCAGCGAGAGATGCTGGTAACCCACTCCAACGCGTTGAAATACAATACATATAGCGATATATATAGATATACGAAAACCATTTTGAGCATGAAGATATATCCTACGAACTCTAGCTTTAAAAACCGGGAATGACTCGACAGATAAGGCCAGACACAAGCAACAGTTATAACGAGCATATGCAGTTCACAACAGATAAGGCAGATAAGGCAAAGCATAAACGATGATCATAACCCAACATGACCAATCCCCAATATAAATCCCATAGTCACATCCCCCAAGACACTCGTAATCACAACTCGTCCATGTCACAACACATAACACACTTTGTTGGCGCCACAGGACCAATCGCATGCCCATACATGAGGGTCAGCGCATATAGCTCTGACACGGCCGCGCAGCACCCTGCCCCGTATCGCAACACGGAGGGGTCGATCGCAACCGACCGATGAACCGCAGCTCATCATATTGTTTGATCGCAACCAAACAGTGGACCGCAGCCCAAGAGAATGTCATCTGACCGCAGCCAGGAAAAAGGACGAACCGCAGCTCGTATAGAAACGTTTGATCGCAACCAAACGGTGGACCGCAGCCCAAGAGTATCAATTTGACCGCAGCCAGCTTATGAACCGCAGCTCAGGATAACCAATCCGATCGCAACCGAATTGGGGTAACACACACACACATAACACATAGCAAGCACATGCAACCCACATTACACATTGGGAAGGGGGAGAAAGCGTATAACAAAACCTATGCGTGATCCATCACATACTAAGAATAGTCCTAAGGGGTTCATACTTCTTCCACCTAGGTCAACGGGATACCAATTCAACTAGCATG